CGGGGCGAGGCACTGGCCTCTGCCCGGCGGGCCCAGCTCCGAGGGGAGGTCGGTGCCAGCCCGTGACCCTGCGCGCGCTGCCGCCCGAGCCGCTGCCACCCTCCCGGGGATTCGTCCTCGGGCCGAGCTCTTGCGCACGGGACGCCGGGACTCCGGCTGCTGCAGCCCCGCTTGCAGTCAGCCCACGGCAGCCCCGGCCTCGCTGCCCGCTTCCTCCGGTGCCCACGACTCACCGGGACACACGGGACAGCATTAACAGCCACGGCGAGGACTTTATTCGTTCATTTAGCAAAGCTGTGCTGGGTGCTAGGGTCTCTCCATCCAGGAGCAGAGCCCTGCTCTTCAGATCGGACGCTGAACCCGGCCTGTAACCCCAGCACTCTGGGCGGCTGAGGCAGGGGGATCACAAGTCCTTGCCCAGCCTGGGCAATTCATCGACTTAGTGAGATGCTGTCTCAAAATTTTAAAGTAAAAGGGTTGGGGATGTAGGTCAGTGCCAAGGCCCTGGTTTGACTCGGGGGCCTGTCTGGGTGAGGGCTGGAGGTGATGGTGGAGGTGGGTCCTGTGGGTGGAGGGCACGGAGAAGCACAGCCAGAGTGTGGCTCAGGTGGGGAGCCCCGTGCCTAACTTGCTCCAGGCCTGGGTCTCATCCCCAGCACCTGAAAAACAAAACAAAATAAAACACCTCTGCCCTTCAAAGGACAAATTTCCTGTTTCCCTTTCCGAAGGCCCCTCCCCCATTGGTGTTAAGAACCTACAATGGCGGAAGCAGTATTTGTACCAGAATTTCAACAGAAGGCATTAATTCCACCCCCTGGGATCCCAAATGCTTGCTTAAACTTCCTTGAAAACCTAAGCATCAGAAAACTCTGGCTTTTTCTCCTAACTCACAAGGGTAACTCCCCACACACACACCTGAAGGGCTGCTGGCACTTGAAGGAAGCAGGCACCAGCCGGGGACACGGGGCCATCCCGCCCTGCAGCTGCGCCAGCCCTGGCCTGCTCCCTAAAGGGTATTGGGGTACAGAGGGCCGTGCTCTGCATCCGGGAGCCTCAGCCAGAGCTTCCATCTTTTGGAGAGCAAGAATGATCCTCCCTCTCGCCCAGCACGCAGGCTAACAAAGACCTGGACGAGCAGTGCGAGGGAAGGAAGGTGCAGAACGGGTGGAAGGCTGTAGCAGGGCTCCCTCAAGTTTTTAAACGCACAGCAGTGTATGAGCCAGCTCCCTCGAATTCTGCTCTGCGGTGTGGAGGAAAGGGAGGCAAAGGACTCCCCAGGGGTGCGGGGTCACACGGCCTGGAGGACGGACTGGGGTGCATGCCGGCTGCGGTCTGTCGGCTGGGTCGGATCCGCTCCGCTCCTCCCGAGCCTGCAGGCTCACTCCGCCCGCCCAGCCGCGGTCGCTGCACTCAGCTCAGTTCTCTCAGGGCAGAGGGTGGCTCGGAATCCGAGGGAGAGGAACGGGCACAGATACTCCTTCCCGGAATCCCAACAGCCCCGGCCAGAGCAAAAGCCGAACGCACCCGCCTGGGCCGTGTCCCGTGAGCAGGGTGTGCGGGACAAATGACAAAGTGCAAGCAAGGGGGCAGGGTGCGAGCCAGGGAGGACAGGTCTGTGGCTTCTCGCGGGGCGTCGCCTGGGACACCAAGGACCAAGGACTGGGCATGCAGCATCTTGTGCTCCTCTTAAAACAACTGCGTTTGGACAACCCAGCCCACACCGGCCGGGGATGTGCCATGTGTCAGGAAGGAGGCCCTCACTCTCCAGGGGCCCTTGGGCTGGGTGGGGGGTCTGGTCCCTCCTGGGAGGGGCGGATGGGGCAGGAGCAGCAGAGGGACACAAGGCCGGCAGTTCTGCGAGCAGAGGTGGAGGGGTTCTGTTAGAAGCAGTCTGGGGTACCTCGAAGGGCTACGCCCACCCTCAGCGATGCGGATTCTGCGGGCTGGCCGAGCCGCGGCGGGGACAGGACCTGCGTTTCTTAGAATCACCCAATCCCATCGCACAGCAAAGCTGGAGCCCTTGAAGGCCTGGCGTTAGGTCAGCTCCGGCCTGTCTCCAGTCCAAGTCCTCCTTGAAACTCAATACCTGGTCTTCGGGAGACCTCGGGTGCAATCCCTGCCCCCATCCAGCCCAGAGGCTGAAGAAGGGGCAACTCAGGCCCGGGGGTGAGGGTCCTCTTGGCCACCTCACTGCAGTGTCTCCTGTCCCGCAGGAGGAGGGGTAGGACTGAGCATGCAGTCCCCAAGGTGGCCTTTCCTTCTTAGGAAAGGACGGAGCCAGAGGGAGGAGGGAGGGAACCGCCTGGGCGCCCACCTGACTTCCCCCGTCCAGCCCCAGCCCCTCCGCCACCCACCCTACCAATCTGGGGGCTGCTTAAAGCTGGCTCCCTGGGCCAGAGGAGGCAATGTCGGAGAGGTTTACAGTTCAGAGGCTCAAGGCCCTGCAGATTAAAGCGGGAGTCGAAAGCCCCGCAGGAAGCCCCTGCTGCAGGCCGGGCACTGCCCTACACAGCTCAGTCTTAGCCTAGGACTGGACATGGAGCCTGGGTTCCGTCTGGGTTTACTCTGGCCTCAGGTGCCTTAAGGAAGAGGCCTGGAAAGGACTGACAGCTCCCCTGCCCGCCTGCAGCCTCTGCAGCCTGTCCCGCCAGCGTCAGACCCAGGCAGGGCCGAGAGCCAGAGTACGGATCCCAGAGCTGCTGGGCTTCTTGTCCCAGCTGCAGTTAGGAGTGAGTTTGAGGGATTTATGACAACTGGAGCCCTTGCAGAAGGTGTGGGTGGTGGACAGGGAGTGCTCAATCTCTTTGGCTGGCACCTGGGGGCTGGGGTCTCCCTGGGAAGCAGAACCTAACCTTGATGTCCCTGACACCTGCTCGCTTTGGCCTTGGTGGGGACAGGGCATCCACCACGACACACGGGGGGCATGGGGGCATCGAAGGACCCTCATCTTAGCCCCGGCCCCTCAGCAGAGAGCAAACCTTTGATTTCAGAGGTCTGGTTGCACTAGTAAACTCAGAGCCTGGGGCCCCATCCACCAGCTTGCGCCCAGCCGGCAGAAGCATGAGGTTCAAGCCTTGCTTTGCCTTATGCAGATCCAGAAGCCTATGTACACAGCCTCACGCAGGCCGCCGCCTGTGTCTCCGTTCCCTGGGAGTCCGAGCCAACGCTCCGCCCGGCTGCCTGGTGCAGCGCTGGGGCCTGCTTTAACACCTAAAGGCAAGCAGGGGCCCTCGCCAGTCAGGCAGCCTGAGGGAAGCTGGCCCGGTGGCCCAGGGCAGCGTCAGCTCTGCTCCAGACCTAGCTTATTCTCCTGGAAGCTGTGGCGTCCTCTGTTCACACAAGCTCCTCCTGGCCTTGCCTATGTGCCCGATCCCCTCCTCCAATCAGATCTATAAACACACTGTCGCCTGACAGAGACTGTGTCTCCGAGTGGGCTTCAGTGCCTCGGTACTCAACCTCTGGGGATGCTCTGGATCCAGAATTTCAAGTATTTGGGGAGCACAGGAGGTGAATCTGGGTGGTAGGCAAAACTGAGGCACAGAGAAAACCCAGCAGTTGGGACACCAGAGCTCGTGGAGGACCAGAGGAGGATCCCAGCCTGCCTGGAGTCCGTGTGGGTTGGGGGGCTGCCCCCCAGATTTTCATGGAACAGCTAGGGATCAACAGCCAGTTCAAGTTCCCGTTTAGGTGGGGTGCTCCACTGCCTTCCAGTGGATAGCAGGACAGCCCTGGGCTCCCCACGCCCCCTGCACTGTTTTGTCTAGGGGCTCAGCCGGGCTGGGTGGCCTATGGGAGTGCTGGTCTGGCCTGGCTGTGCTAGCAGCTTCAGAATTCTCCCAGCTGGGGTTTACCTGTGGTGTCTTCCCCACCCCGGTGCAGGACATGCAAGACGGGGCTACAGTGTGCTCAGGGACCCGAAGTAGGAAAGAAAATGAAACGGACCAGGAGCCACCAGCGGCCTCATCACAGGACCAGACGCTGGATGTGGCGAAGGACATATGTCCTTGCCTCTCTGGGTGCCAAACGTGGTTGGAGATGGCTTTTTTGTTTCAAAATCTCCCCAAAGAACATTTACCACTTGAAGACGTTTAGTCCTTTGGAGGGTAGGAGCGGGGAGGGATCTTGGAAAGAGGTTTGGCCTGTAAGCCTCAAAAACAACCAAAATGCAACTTCCAAGCCCATTCTTGCAGCAGCGCCGAGCAGCAGGTCCCCTCCCTCCTGGCAACACAGCAGTGGAGCGAGCAGAGCTCTGGCTACGGCTCCAGCTCAGACTCAATAGGAACATTCTTCGAGGCGGGAAGGGTGAAACGGGGTGCAGCTTCACAGAGTCATCACTGGCCAAGTATGGGCTGGGAGGTCCCGTTCTTATGTGGGCCCTGCCTCTGCTCACCCTGAACAAGTCACCTGCTTGCTGTGCAGTTACTTGGACAACTGCCGCCCAACTATCAAGACACTGCGGACTGGTCTGTGCCCCAGCCCCGTCCCAGGACTCAGGCAGGGGTTGAGCGGCCACCTCAGATGTCCCTGTCTGACACCAACGCCCCACTCCAACTCTGCCTGAGCCTCAGTCCAAAGAGGCTTGGAAGATGTGTGTGGTACAGGCCTGTGAACTCTAGCTGCTCCTCTCAGACAAGCGCAGAACTCCGCGGCACTGCACAGGCCACCAACCACTGCATCACGCGGAACCTGAGCTGCGCTGTGCGCACTGTCTGCAGCACTATGACCCTGACTCGGAGCCTTCTCCCTCGCCTCCACCCCATCTGAGCTGCCGCTCCAAGGTGGCCCGAGTTACACCCTGGGAAGATCCTCGGCCTTCACCTCCTGGCCACCCCAGGAAGCCACGGGCCTTTTACAAACCGTAGTAAACATTTTATTTACACGTTTCAGGCTTGCTAAGTGCAGCAAGTGTCTTTATGCGAGACCCCTCTGCGTGCAAGGAGGGGCAGTTTAGTCCAACACTTCCCAGGGTGCAAGAGCAGCCAAAGGTGTGACAGTGGAGAAGGAGCTGGGGCTCATCTGCACCTCCAGCGCGTCTGGTCCCCCAACGTGAGCTCCACACCGAGCCCAGCCCCTGCCCGGGGGCTGCCCTCAGGGCTGCGGGGCCCTCTGTCCTCTTCCATCTATAAGCTGCCTGCCAGCGGGGCCTGGCTGGGTGCAGGGCTTTTGGGAGTACTGCTGCCTCCATCGGGCTGGGGCTCGGGGAGCAGCTCCGCGGTGCCGCTGCCCATGCTGGTGCCGGTGCTGGCGCTGGTGCCCCCGAGGCTGCCTGGGCTGCTGAAGCCAAAAGTGCAGCCGCCGCCGCCGCCTCCACCGCCGCCGCCGCCAGCCGTGACCAGGGCAGCTGCAGCTGAGGCCTTGATGACTGTGGCTGGGTGCAGAGGAGGCTCGGCCCCCTCAGTCCGCTCCGTGTCACTGGGGGCCATGTCCAGGGACTCGGAGTCGCTGGTCTCACTCTCCGCCTCACCCTCGGAGCGGCTAGGGCTCCTCTCCTCCTGGTCACCCTCGCCCGGGGCTCCTCCCGAAGGCTTCTCCCCGGCCTCCTTGTCCTTGTCCTTCTGCGCCTGGGCCTCCTTGGAGTGCCGCCACTTCATCCGCCGGTTCTGGAACCACACTTTCACCTGAGCAGCACGGGGACAGGAAAGGACAGGAGGTGAGCGACAAGCTGGCCCCACGGGACTCACCTTCCCGCTGGCCCTCGAGGTCCGTCGGGTGGCCCGGGACCATTCCCCACACCTCTAGGGAAAGCCAGGCACCGAGCACGGCACGGGAAGAGAGGCAGTGGAGGGAGAGTGAGGCCGGGAGCCCACAGAAGCCTTCTCCGAGTGTGGCCCCCCACGCCACTGACGCTCTTGACGCTAAGCCAGTGACCAGGGCGAACCGTTCAGAGCCTTCACTGCACAAGCGGACTGCCGACGCCATGGCTACAGCTGGCTTCACCCCACTGTATAGCCTAAGCCACACTTCTAACCTCACTTTGATCAGGGGCCTCACAAAAATCAAAATGAGGGACTCCTGACCCAGGAAAATGCACAGAATCTCAAACCTGGCCTTGTCCTCTACCACCGCTATCCAAAGCAAGTCACCAAGCGGAGGAAGAAACTGGGAAGCAGAAAGAGGGAAGGGCCTGAAGAGTCCACCCCAGAGGGGTGGGGGCACCACAAGCTTTCCGTGAGGAGGATTCCTAGGCACTTTCCCTGGAGAGGTGATGAGGACCAGGCTCCCCTCCAAACATAAGCGAATTCTCAGGGGTCTCAGAAAACGCTGGCATTACACATGTGCAACGTGGAGGAAGAGGCTGCGGATGGAGCAGAAGAGCCGTATAAATACATAAGGCCCCCTGGGGGATGACACCTCTGCACAAGCTCCAGCTTCTCTTTTAAAAATAACATCCCCAGCTGGTGGAAAGGCAGGGCCTGGCCGACCGGACAGCGCGTGCGCTCGGAGCCGGCTGTGTAATGGAGACCGAGGGACCCAGGCAGAGGCCCGACCCAGGCCTGCCTTTGGCTTCGCCTTGCCGGGCACGGGCGGTCTGCTCTTCCTTCAAAAGGCCCACTGCCAGCACCAAGAGATTCTTCCGAGCCGAGCCCTTAGGACTCCGACGGCAGCGGCAGCGGCAGCTCCAAGAGGACTCCTTGCCCTACTGGAGCTAAGTAATTTTTTTGAAAGATATTTTCACTTCCTCAGAGCGGGGATTTCACAATCCCGAAGCAGCAGCACGGAGGAGGGGAAGAAGGGTGGCAGAAAAAAACAACTACCATCTCTAGACTTTGGGTTTTTATCTCTGCTGAAATAAACCGCCTCCTCCAGTGAGCTGCACCGGCGGAGTGCATAATTAGCATCTCCACGGCCTGAGCGCTGGCTCCCGGGGTGCTTAGCTCATGGCCAAAGTAAACACGTAGCGCCTGTGGCCTGCTCTGGAGAGGCCGGAAGATCTCCTCGAGACTCCTCACCACCCCGCTTCAGCCCCAAGCCGTGAGTCCCACAGCCTCGCCCTTCCAGACCTCGAGCGCGGGCTGGGAGCGGCTGGGGGGCTGCCTGGCGGCTGGGTGCTCACCTGGGCGTCCGTGAGGCCCAGCATGGCCGCCAGCTGCTTTCGGTCCGGCTTGGTCACGTACTTCTGGATCTCGAACCTTTTCTCCAGGCCCTTCCGCTGCAGGTTAGAAAAGACTGCCCTCGACCAGGAGCGCTTCCTCTTGTACGTCTGCGGCATGGTGTCCTTGGTGAGCACCGCGTAGGGACCTGCACGGGGCCAGGCGCAGGGAGCAGAGACCCCGGGCTGCATCAGTGCCCAGGCGGTGGCCTGCGACCCTGGCTCTCCGAGCGGCAGGGAGCAGAGCTCGAGGCTCAGGCCCAAGGCCCTGTGTGCACAGCGACGGCCTCGCTAGGGTCCTCAGGCCTGCAGAGGCTGCACTGCGGCTCGCGGAGTAATTCCGAGGGAAAACTGCGTACTGCATGGCCACCAGCAGGCCTGGGAAGCGCAGCCGACGTAAGGACCGCAACCCTAAGCTTCCACTGTCTGCCTACGTGTGCTCCCACAAGTGGCCACGAATGCACAGGTAACCCTGCCACATAAACGTGTTTATAGTTATCCAAAATGTGGTGTGTTGATAAGCGATGTCTGTGATGCCCATTTCTGAACCACCCTCTCTAGCATAAAGACCCAGGAAAGACACGTGTCTGGCGCCACACCGCCTGTGCACACCCCGTCCTGGTCCCCAGGCGTCCCCTCTCCCTCTCGCGGCCCACCGTAGGCCCCTCAAAACCGTTTCTCTGCACTGTCCCAGAAATCTTTCGCTTTCTCTCTCTGACTCGCAGTCTCCAGGCCCAGCTATGCGATTGCGACACTGAGGCGGCCACTGACAGGCATCGGCCGGAGATTTCTCAGTCACTTCTCCAGCCCCGGGCCGGCCCGCCCAAGTGGGGAGCTTTCCGTACCTGGAAACGTGTCTTGGAACTGATGCTGAACTGAATTTCTCGGGTTGGAGCTTAAGGGGCTGAGGATAGCAGAGGCCTCGTTCATGGGTTCCAGCGCCGCGAAAAACTGGCTGGCGGAGGGCTGCAGCCCCGCGAGGTGCACGCCAGCCGGCCGCCCCCCAGCCAGCAGGGACGTGAGGTCTGCCGAGGAAGAGGACAGTCACGGTCACGCGCGGCGGTCACGCGCGCTGGGCCCTCCTTCCTGCCTCGTCTTCGATTGGGGTTCACTGCAGCGAGGTCTGGAAGGCCCTCAGGAAAAGAGATCTTGCCATCCAAAGCCTGCCAGTAGCACAGGCAAACAGGACCCCCTTGGGGTCCACTACTCCGCAGGGATGGGCCCTGGGACGGCACTCGGGGGTCTCCGGCATCCGCAGCCCCCAGGCTCCCCCCACACCCGACTGGAGTTTAGTTTACGTAAGATTTTGCCAGAATCGGATAGATGGAGAAGAAAGCGTCCCCTCCCAGGGCTTTCCGTGTTACAAGAGTATAACTGTCTCTAAGTACGAGGCTCAAAAGATGAGGGCTGCTTGTCACTTTTGTATTTTCCGCAACCATTTCACGCACGTCCCTAGAACCTTCTTGTAACACTAAGCTGGTGAGTTTTAAACCCGATGTTTTGCAGTTTTCTCACAACACCTTTTCTTCTCCCCCATTTGTCCTTAGTTGTGGAAACACCGAAAGCTCCCCAAGGCAGCCTGGGCCCGGGGATGGGGCGGGACCTCGGTCCCCGAGGCCGCAGCCGGCGGCCGAGACCGCGACCTACCTCTCAGCGTGTTGCCTTCCTTCACTTTGGGGTCGAATTCCGCCGACAAGATGCGGTCGATGCCAAACTTGAGATCCTTGCTGGAGGGCGCCGGGGTGGAGGCGCCGAGATGCGCGCCCGCGCGGGACCCCGAGCCCGAGGGCTGCAGGG